TATTGATAACGTGTGCCTTCCAGTCACTTCTGTCTTATGCTGACCCTTATTGCTATTATTATATTTATTTATATCCTACCTTTCTTCCAAAAAATTGACACACAAAGTGGCTTACAAAGCAACCCCAAGGCAAACCTATCATGTTTTTTTTTCCCCCCCTTTGGCTGAATTTGCCTCCATATGAGGCTGAGAGAATGTGACTTCCCCAAGATCGCCCAATGGGCTTCCATGGTTGAGCAGGGATTTGAACCTTGGTTTTCCAGTGAATATGATGGAAAAGCCTGCGTCTGTCCAGACCTTTTTGGACTACAGTCTCCATCACCAAAGTCAGGATGGCTACTGGCTGAGTCGGAGAGGAATGATGGAGGTCATAGTCCAACACAAGCGGAGGACACAAGGGTAGCAAAGCCTGCTCTAAAAGTATAGGAACACAAATACCCAGCTAGTTGACAGTTGCAGAAAAAGAACGAAAGGAAGATCTTTCAGGAAGAAGCAGTGCTTGAAGACATACAAAAAGACAAACAGTGCCAAAACTCTGTGCCAATGGCATGAAAAACTGGTGTAATTCTGGTTTTAATGTGGCCAGCGTGATTGTAAGGACCGTGAGCCGCAAGGAAAAATCTTGTACTGATTTTCACTCCTTCAGTCATATCTTCCACTCTCTGAAACTTTTTTTAATGCATTCGAATGCCACCAACTTGATAAAATCAACAAGGTCCCTTCCTTCCTTCCTTCCTTCCTTCCTTCCTTCCTTCCTTCCTTCCTTCCTTCCTTCCTTTCCTCCTTCCTTATTCCTTCCTTTCTTCCATTCTTCCATCCTTCCTCTCTCCTGCTGTCTTCCTATTTTAACATATTTCAATATATTTTAACATGTCTTCATATTCTAACATATTTTTAATAGGAAAATTTTCTTTGAAAAGAAGAGAAAAGTCTGGTTCATTTATTTATAAGACTACAGTTCATTGTGAATCTTCACTGGGAATCTCATTGGATGTTACGATTATTTATCCGGGTGTAAAATTGTAACAGTCAGGCCTCCATATCCACGGATTCTTTATTCACGGATTCAAGTATCTGTGGCTTGAAAAATATTCCAAAAAAATATACAAATTACAAAAAGCAAACCTTGATTTTGCTATTTTATATAGGGGATACCATCTTATTATGCCACTGAATATAATGGGACTTGAGCATCCACAGATTTTGGTATCCATGGAGGGGTGTGTGTCCTGAAAACAAACTCCAGCAGATACCAAGGGAATAATAATAATAATAATAATAATAATAATAATAATAATAATAATAATAATAATAATAATAATAATAATAATAATAATTCTATTGTACATAATGGGACTTGAGCATCCACAGATTTTGGTATTCACGGGAGTCCTGGAACCAAGCCATATAGAAGATACCAAGGGCCCACTGTATAAACATACTGGCTAGACCCTTTATTAATGTCAGAAACTGGGTTGCCTTAAGCTTGTTTGTATTTCAATGTTTGCATTTATTTTTCATTTCTTCGGTTGCTCATGCTTTTCAATGAAAATATTTTTTTTAAAGGATTAGAGAAGCGCATGGTCTATCTTCTGGTCGCAGCTTTTTGCCCTAGTTGGAAAAGATCTCATGCAATCTGTCTGGCACATGCTGGGGAAATCTACTTTCTCAGCTGCAAATTATTTGCAGGAAAAGGCAGGCTCCTGTCTCATTTGAAAGCACCTCGGCTTTTCAGAAGTTCTTCCAAGGAACCTGACCTTTGATAATGAGTGACAAATTGGAGGTTTATTCCCTTGACAGAGCCAACAGGATTCGTCATCGGATACTTTGGGAAGGGTTCATCTCTCACCCGGCTGCCGTTGCAGGGATCAGGTCACTAATAAAAGGATCAAGAAAGATAGGTAGTTTTAAGATCCTGGGGAGAGGCTGCATCTGTATTGCAGAAATAATCCAGTTTGACACTGCTTTAACTGGCATAGCTCAATGCTGTGGGATTCTGGGGACTGTAGTTTGTTCTGGCACCAGAGCAACTCAGAAGCCAATGCAGTTCTTGCAAGACCGGTGTTACACGGTCTCTAAAATGCACACCTAGCACCTGTCTGGCTGGTGCATTTTGCACTTGCTGCAGCGTCCAAACAGGGCAATGGAATCTAGACCTGGTCCCCAAGAATGTGCGCTTCTCTTTCCATACACCCTACCAACTTCACATTCATCAGCTGACCCATGCATGCACTTTTCACATGCACCAGTAGCCAATGGCTTCCAGGTCAGCAGAAGTTTTACCCTGAATCTTAATGGTACTGAACCCTGTCTGCATAAAAACTTCACTCAAAACCAGCATGGCTTAGTGGTTTGAGCATTGAGCGTAGCGGTTTGAGCATTGGACTATGACTCTGGAGACCAGAACATATGCAGAGTACATTTCCAATTATTGTATTTCCATGCATCTGCAATCTGGAAACTTTCCAGCTTTTTATATGTACACTCATTCCTCCACATTTGTGGCTTTGACTTTTGCGGATTTGATTATTTACGGAGTTTATTAAAATGTTCTCTCTAGGAATCTCTAGGTCCTCCAATGCAACTCTGTGGTCAATTTTAACCAAAGGTTGCACTGAAAGACCTAGAGATTCCTAGAGAGAACACCTCACTAGGCATTTGTAGTTCCCCCAGTGCAATTCTTTGGTCAATGTCTGGCAGCATACATATATTTGGGATCCAGTGTGGTGCAATTGTTTGAGCATTAGACTACAACTCTGGAGATGCGGGTTTGATTCCCTGCTCAGCCATGAAACCTACTGGGTGAACCTGTGCAAGTCACACTCTCTCAACCTCAGGGGAAGGCAACAGCAAACCTCCACTGAAAAAACTTGCCAAGAAAACACCACGATAGGATAGCCATAGGATCGCCATAAGTCAGAGATAACTTGAAGGCACCCAACAACAACAAACATGGGGAACTATATTTAATGTCTCGGCTAAAACCTGGAAGTGGATTCGCCACCCCACTGACATGGGAGCCAGAAGGTGTCTCTAGTTTCATAGGTACAGTCTCTGTGCAGATTCTTCTCTTCTCTTCTCTATTTTTGCTCCTCAAATGCTCCATTGAAGAAACTGTGGGCAGTAGGAGCATAACCAGCCCCTCTGTTATGGAGGAGCTCATATGAAAAACAGATGCCAAGAATATTGTTATAAATCAAAGCTGACAATGACAGGAGGAGAGGTTGAAGAGGGGAGGTTAAGGGGAGCTGTGGATTCCTTCAAGAGGGGCTTCCACACCCTTGGGAGGCCGCTCCGTAATTGAACAGGCCTTCTGTACATCCAAGCAAAGGGACTGTTTGACAGGAGAGCCATATTCACAGGTTCTCCCGTAATTCATGTTTTCCATTAGACATACGAGAAGCGATAACCGCTTCTGAAGCCGCTACCTCAGGGAGTCCTCCGATTTCGTTTGCCTGACGCGGATGCAGGCCGTCTTTTCAACAGATGTTTCCGATCGCAAGGAGCTGCTACTGAAATGTCTTTCAGGGATGCCATTCCACCTCTGAGCAAACACAGTTTCTATTCTTTCCTTCCCAGCCTCCATCCCCAGCAGCTCCGCCACCTTTCAGACAGCAAAGGAGCAGATGGATAACAAAAGGCAGAAAATGCAACCCTGGTGAGCCATCCCCTTGCTGTGATAATTTGTGAGGGCAAATTTGTAGGTTCAGCAACAGTGGTTCCAGGGCCAGGATCCTGTTGGTGTTGCACACCTGTGCACCTTCCCAGTTGTGTACACTTGCAGCCTTTGGGCTGCTGTGCAATGGAGGCATTCGGTGCAAGAGTGCGGAAGTGGAATTCCCCAAGTTGTCACCATTTCACATGGGCCTGAATCCTATTATTTGCTGGACTCCTACATCACATTTACCTTAGCGTAACTTTACATATACTTAACTATATGCATTGGTGCCAATGTGCATAGGTCCTGATGTGCCTCAGTCCTATTGTGCATTGGTCTCTTAAGTCTTCTTCATCAGATGCAAATAGATTTAATGCTTTCCTCTTTTCTTGTTCCTTTTCCCCTTCCAAATGAAGCAGACTTAAGTTTTAGGAAAGTTTCTGTCACCTACTTCTTCCTCTCCATTAGTCTCAAAGGTGCTACAAGACCCCTATAAAACTACTATGTAGCAGAGGGACATTTAAGAAACCATGTTAGTGAATTGCAAAGATGCATATTAGGATAATGGCAAGGGTGTCATTGATATGCACCAATGCATATCAGTCCTGTTGTGTATTGGTGCCTGATGTGCACCAGTGCACATTGCGCATTGGTCTCTTAAGACTGCTTCATCAGATGCAAGTAGATTTAAGAGATCAGTGCACCATGGGAATGGTGCATTGATGTCAGTAAAATTGGGACTGTTGGATGGTATGTATTTTGGGGGACAACCAGGTTCAAATCCTGCTCCAGCCTTGAAACTCCTTGGTCTTGACATACCTCACAGGGTTGATCTGAATGTGAAATGAAAAAAGGCAAAATGGTAAGAAGTCAGCTAGAATGCGCCACGCTGATCTCCTTGCAGGGAAAGCAATGTACGTCTAGTAAATAAATAAATGGTTCTCACTCAGATCCCAAAACTGTTTTTCTAAATCCTTTTACAAATTCCTCAGAGAAACAGGCAAATCTCTTTTGGATGGAGCTATAAAACAAACAATCTATCCTTGTTGCCGTCTTCCAAAGTCCACTCTGGACCTGCCCAACACAATTCCAGTTGTATATCATCAACTTCTGAGCATAATGCGTTAGTTAAACAAGTGGAGAGAATAATTGCTACTTTTTCCCTCAAGGAGTAAAAAGAAGAAATCCTGTGGCAGCAGTATTGCACACTGGAGCCATCCGTTTAGAGTTACACAGAAGCCTTTCTTTCAGAAATTGCAAACATTTCTTTTTGCAGTTTGCACCATTTTTAAATTGAATTTCACAAACAGTTTTTTTCTTTTTGGGGGGGAGGGGTAAAAGAGCCAGTGTGTTGGAATGGTTTGCGTGTTGGACTATGACTTTGGAGACCAGGGTTCGAATCCCAGCTCAGCCATGGAAACCCACTGGGTGACCTTGGGCAAGTCACATTCTCTCATCCTCAGAGGATGACAAGGGCAAACCTGCTTGCCAAGAAAACCCTATGATAACCTTAGGGTCTCCATAAGTCAGAAACAGCTTGAAGGCATACAACAACAACCTTTAAAAAACAGCACTAGTTGGTCCAATCTCGGTTGGCTTTGCCCACATGCCTTGCGCAGGTGACACAATTTTGCTCTTTTAGTGTTGGCAGCCCAATTTTAGGTGATAACAACTACCAGTTGCTGTTGGTCATAATGGCAAAACAGAAGCCTGTGCTTGTAGTAGGCTTGCATGCCTCTGTGGATCTGGTGTTGCTAAACAAGAGAGGAACATGAAGACTCTTTTAACCCTCAGGCTGTGAGTATCCAGGTATAAGTAAATTTATTATTATTATTATTATTATTATTATTATTA